AACCTGGGCTTCCATACCACCTCAGCAGTGCCACAAACTGATCACCTCCATGCCACGCCGAATTGAGGCAGTAATTAAAACAAAAGGAGCCCCTACCAAGTATTGAGTACATGTACAGTAAATGAACATACTTTCCAGAAGGCCAACAATTCACTAAAAATGTTTTCTTATGAAGTATTCGAATTTGTTGAGATAGTGAATTGGTGGGTTTTTGTTAAATGTGAGCCAAAATCATCACAATTAAAAAAACCAAAGACTTAAACTACTTCAGTCTGTGTGCATTGAATTTATTTAATACACGAGTTTCACAATTTGAGTTGAATTACTGAAATGAACTTTTCCACGACATTCTAATTTATTGAGATGCACCTGTACTTATTTCACTCACTGAAATGCAAATCAATCTCTAGCCTTTATATAATGTGTTTTTTCTGGATTTTTTGGTTGGTATTCTGTCTCTATACGTTAAAATAAACCTACCATAAAAATTACAGACCCTTCATTTCTTTGTAAGTGGGCAAACTTACAAAATAAGCAGGGGATCAAATACACACACATATAAGATGTTTAATAATCTATAATGAATAATTTTTACAAATGTAGTAGTATGTGGCACATCTGTTTTTGTGTGGCATGTGCAACACATACAGTGTATGTATTCATACAGTCCCTTCCACTAATTTTGGCAGCCTTAGCAAATGTAAGCAGAGGTGGCTATGAAATGTTACACCCCTTACCATACTATGATGGAGCGGTGAGACAAAAACATTAAAACCCATTATAAACTAGGCATTTGTTGCATCCAGTGGGGACATAATTAATAATGTCTTGTTTGTATTTTTACGCGTTGCATCACGCCGCCGCGTAAACATAAAACCATTTCTGCATTTGTGATTGGAGAAATGACAAACAACAAGTGCTACTCTACAGTGCTCAAAATTCGCGTTTGACTCGTCAGTGGCAAATCCTTTAAATACGAAAACATACTTACTGTCTGAGTAAGAACAGCCGGCATTGTTGTCTACACTACCAGGATCAGGAAACAGTCCTCCATAAAATGCGTTGCACACATCTGAATATTTGGGTTGAACTGTTCTGGAACAGTGTTGTAAATACAAAACATTAAAACCCATTATAAACTAGGCATTTGTTGCATCCAGTGGGGACATAATTAATAATGTCTTGTTTGTATTTTTACGCGTTGCATCACGCCGCCGCGTAAACATAAAACCATTTCTGCATTTGTGATTGGAGAAATGACAAACAACAAGTGCTACTCTACAGTGCTCAAAATTCGCGTTTGACTCGTCAGTGGCAAATCCTTTAAATACGAAAACATACTTACTGTCTGAGTAAGAACAGCCGGCATTGTTGTCTACACTACCAGGATCAGGAAACAGTCCTCCATAAAATGCGTTGCACACATCTGAATATTTGGGTTGAACTGTTCTGGAACAGTGTTGTAAATACAACTTAACCACTGATTTCTAGTCGTGTCCTCTTTTGGAAGGCCAAACAAAGTAGTTTCGCTTTCACAACAAAACACACGGCGGGCTTGAGTGAGCGGCGGCTGGCGGCTAGAGTGAGGAACGGCCGGCGGATTCGATGAAGGAGCGGCTGGCGGGCTTGCGGCAACCACATGTGACGACCCCGGGCTGGACTCCGCTTCGTCCACGGTGAAAGCCAATCCGGCGATCCACAGCGCGAAGTTGATGTATTTCCTCAGCGATCAGCACGGATCAGCTCTAGGCATGACAAAGCTGATATCGTCCTCTTTTGGAAGGCCAAACAAAGTAGTTTCGCTTTCACACCGAAACACACAGCGTCTTCACGACATGGCGGCGGCGGCGGCAGCGGCAACAACAATACTACAGCGAGAATAAAAGTTACGCCTTTCCTTCTTTGCGTGAACATTTAGGCAGCGTTATGCACATCTTCCCACATCGTGACATAGACATGTGAGGGCGTGTTAGAACGCGCCGTTTTAGGTAGGCGTGGTTAACTCTTAACTTTTATAAAGAATATCTCTTTGGATTTGAGACTTTAGTCTTTGCAACTTTACAGATCCTCTTTATGCATCAAGAGCTTGTAACACTTTAAAGAGAAAGGAAAAATTTAAATCGCATCATATGACCCCTTTAAGACTCAACTGTCCTGGAGAGTCTTTGGCCACTCAAACTCTCCTCCTCACCGTGCATTAGGACTATATAGACATGCGTCTTCTTCCAGGCAGATTTGTAACATCTTTAGTTGACTGGAACTTCTTAATTATTGTCCTGATGGTGGAAATGGAGATTTGCAATGCTTTAGCTCTTTTCTTACAGCCACTCTCTATTTTGTTAATCTCAACAATCTTGTTCTTCACATCAGAACTATATTCTTTGGTTTTACTCCTTGTGATGGATGATTAAGGGAATTTGGCCTTTGTGTTCCTCATATTTATAATTCTGCACTGGAAAATTTCATGCTCATAGTCACCCTGGTGTGCTAAAAAAAATTCAATATGAATGGGAATATACTTTAAATATATTTTACTCATAAGAATTTCATGGGGTGCCAATAATTGTGACCAACATGCATTGGAGAAAAACATTTATTTCATAATGAAAGATTAGAATTCTGTGCATTTTTTTAATGAAAGATCAAAAGATAAACAATGCAGATTTATTTTCACAGCCGCCTTTGCCCATATTTACCAAGGGTGCCAATATTAGTGGAGGGCACTGTATATGAAATACAACAGTACTATTATATGTTGTTGATCATGCAAACAGCCCATGCTAAGAATCAAAATAATTTTATCAAGGGTCACCGCCATAACTGTACCATCCATAACTGTAACCTTTATTTTTGCATAATGCCTCCTGCATGTCTGTAGGTTTCAGTATAAGTTAGTTAATAAGCCCTAAGTAAGGATGCACCGAAATGAAAATTCTTGGCCAAAGCCGAACAAAATGAAACACTAGGCTGAAGGCCGAACACGGCTTTTCACATTTTTTCCCCATATATTTTGCCAATTTTTTTCACCATTGCATAAATAGCCAAAATGTGCTTTTTACTTTTTTGTCTAGCTTTTCAAAGAAAAAAATTAATTACAAAACAACAATTTAAAAATATTTACTTAATACTGAAAATTTTTTAACGTTCTAGCAGACACTATACCAACAAAGCACAATTTAACTTAAAATTAATAAGCTAGTAAAATATTTTTTTTTGCCATTTTTGAGACCCCCTTCTTGAATCAGTTATGTATTTTTTACTGTACAAATAAATGCAGCCTTGCTGAGCAGAAGATAATTCTTTTAAAACATTAGAAAATATATTCCAATTTGAACACTGTGTGAGTGTTATAATAAATGTATTAATAGAGCTGTTGTAATTATTATTATCATTATTATTGTCTTTCTTTTCTTATTTTATTTTAAAAATGCATAAAAATGTTGGCTTCTGTGCATAAGATGTCACATCAGTCTACTAGCAGTATTAACATTAAGCAGCAAGAATCCCCTTCATCTCAATGCTACTGAACTTCAGGATGATGTACAGTCATATATTTTTCTGTATCCTGTTTTTTACTGATACATTGTCTGAAGTCTGTATTTGTGTTCTGATTTGTTTTGGGGAAGTTGGGGCAGCTCAGAGGACGTCTGGAGGAAAATGCTGAGTAAAGAAATAAAGTACAAACACAGCAAGAGCAGTTTAGACAAACACCCGTCGCTGCGGCCCAAAATGAGAGCCATGTTGCTCGACTGGCTCATGGAGGTACTGTCACACGATCTGCTCTTCACACTAGATTCCCTTTATAATATTTCACTGTATAGACTGCCATAACAACGTTGTTGATGTGAGAGTTAGTTATAGACAGTGAGAATATATTTTTTTAGTCCCACTTAATATGTGTTAAGTGGCCTTAACTACTATGTACTTACATTTAAATTAATCCTTTGATACAATGTGTACATTACACAAAATGCGTGTATTGTGTACATACAAGTTTTTACATTGTATTTATATTTTAAAAACACCTGCACGTAATAACATCTGTAATTACATGTATAATTACACCTTAACCCAACCATATCACCAAACCTGTCCCTAACCTTATACAGTCTATCCCACCTCAATAGCAGCAGAAGTGTTCTGCAATACAATATGAACACAATAAACACACTGTACATATTTTTTATGTAAGTACATCAGCTGCTGTAGTTAAGGCCACCTAATATAAAGTGGGACCTATTTTTTAAACAATTTTCACCGTTATTTATTTATTTTTGTTTACATACACATCCACCAGAACTATTTCTTATTTATTATTTGAATACTAAATGCAGCCTTTCAAATAATGTAACAAAACTAAATTGATAAAATCAATATTTAATATGTGACCCTGAAGCACAAAACCAGTCTTAAGTCACTTGGGTATATTTGTAGCAACAGCCAAAAAAACGTATAGGTCAAAATTATCTTTTTTTTTTATCGAAATTATTTTCTTTTATGCCAAAAATCATTAGGATATTAAGTAAAGATCATGTTCCATGAAGATATTTTGTAAATTTCCTACTGTAAATATATCAAAACTTAATTTTTGATTAGTAATATGCATTGCTAAGAACTTCATTTGGACAACTTTAAAGGCGATTTTCTCAGTATTTTGATTTTTTTGCACCATCAGATTCCAGATTTTCAAATAGTTGTATCTCGACCAATATTTTTGATATTGGAAAGCTTATTTATTTTCAATGGAAAGCTTATTTATTCAGCTTTCAGATGATGTATGAATCTCAGTTTTAAAAAATTTACCCTTATGACTGGTTTTGTGATCCAGGGTCCACATACATGCTTTTTTATTAATAAAAGGAAAGAACAAAAAAGGATGACTTGCATAATTCAAAAATATATCTGACTCCAACATAATCTGACTCCGTTAAAGTTGTTATTTATTTAATCCCTGTTTACATGTCAAAGAGAACTGATAGGAAAATGTTGGATTCTGTGTAGGAGCTCCCAGATCAACCGTTACCTTCACTTCTTATACCCAGAGCAATGAGTGGAATAGAAACACGAAGGAAAACACCATAAACCTGGAGGCAAATGGGTGGAGATCTAGATACTAGAAGGGGAGAAGCATGTGAACATATTCTCCTCAATATACGCTCCAGCAGTAGTTCATGGATTGTACATTAGGATACTTGAATATAGTTCACCACATTTCTATTCAGTTCATAAACTGGCAGATTAAACCAGAAATTAAATAGTTACAAGTGAATAGTTGTGGGAAGCACGTGTGCCTGTGAAGCAAATTATACAGATGTGTATTAGAGGTAAAAGTGACCCTGACTTCCCAGACACAAACATCCTGGGCTTGAATTATTCTAACAACCATATTCAAGTTTATTGAGTGGATGTACTGCAATGCATATTCATGATTAAGTTATTAATGTCTAAGTGTGTTTTTAAAATATTTATATATTTCTCTTTCCCACTGTCTGCCTGCTATGCTTCTCTACTAACCAACTTTAAAGAGCTCGCTCATAAAAAGAGACCTAATCTATAGCAATGAGATCAACCCTGCCTAACTCTTATAATAAGAGTTCTTTAGTAAAACTTGCATTGCAATTTATTGCTAAAGACAGAGAATCACTCTCCCAGACATTTTCTCTAGATGAATCCCTTGTTAAATCAAAAAAACTAAAAGCATCACAAGATGATTCACTAATTGACTAGTCAACTCGAGTCGGTAACTGGTTGTGGAAAAATATATTTCAATTCTTCATCTCTCTCTCTTTAGGTGTGTGAATCGTACACACTTCACAGACAGACCTTCTACCTGGCTCAGGACTTCTTTGACAGGTACATGTTGTCCCAAAGTGACGTGCAGAAGGATCAACTGCAGCTCATAGGAATCACGGCTCTGTTCATCTCCTGCAAAATAGAGGTATACAAGTGTTTAAAAACATTAGACTTGAAATTGTATTACATCTGGTCAAGATCAAATAATTTGAAACACATAAGAAGTCTGACATCAGCGCAAAAACAGCTTAACGTTGAACACTAGAGAAAAAACAAAAACATTATATTATATCATAAGGCTAATTAGGTGAGCTGTGCTTAAAGCTCAAAACACCTGTAACTGTACAGCAGTTGAATTCAGTATTAATCAGGGATGGGATTTTTCTGTTTTATATGTTTTTTATATTTTCAGTGTCTCAGAGCGACTAGATTCACATTAAATGCTGTTCCACACAAACTTAATCTCTACAAGCGCATAGTTTGGATCGCAATAGCATGCATTTGAAAGCAGAACATACCACTTCCAAATTTATAATTACAATTGGTAATAAATTGGTTTTCAACAAAAGAGGGTCTTTGCGGTTTTCCATTCAAATAAAAGCTCTTTATTTATTTTCATTTTTAATTCTCTTAATTTAAGAGAAATATTTTATTTTTATATTTTGGCCTGTGTCAACTGAAGTGGAGAGTTATATATATATATATATATAAAAGGAGTATACTTTAAAGGCTTGTGCACTCAACTGTTTGCGAAATGGAGCTTTGTGCTTGTGTATCCTACCTCTCTCATTCGGCTCAAATCCAAATATTCCATAATATTTCCATATTTGCGATGTAACGTATCTGAATGCTAAACTATTATTTATTATGTAAATTATAGGCTTTGTACTTCAGCCGCGTTCCAACGGTGACACAGAGGCTGACGTGCTGATGTTTGGTTCACTGTATTTTATTTTGATAAAGTACCAACTGCGCTGTCAAGTTAGCAATGCTGGAACTGATGTGTTTTGTGTGTGTGTGTGTGTGTGTGCGCGCCGGCACGATCACTTCAACTGTTTCCTTACACCAGCAGAATCAACTTAAAACACTTTGTGATGAGTGGGGGCGGGGCCGAGAGCCGTGGGAACGGAGCGAGGCCGTGGAGTAATTGATGATGAGCGACACCTGCACCACTCATTGGTCTCCAGTCCCACAGAGGAGCTCCGAAGGGATAAAAGGAGGAGTGACAATAGTGAAAGAGGAGAGAAGTCCAGTCCTGGTCTTCTCTCCCGGCAACTCCACCACAGCTCTTCTTTTTATCCTTCCGGAGCTCCTCTGTGGGACTCGAGACCGGTGAGTGGTGCAGGTGTTGCTCATCATCAATTACTCCACGGCCTCGCTCCGTTCCCACTGCTCTCGGTCCGCCCCACTCCTCACACACTTATTGTCTTATTAATAATGCATCACTGTATAAATGTCTGCTTTTATTTGTGTACACTCACAATGAAAACAAAACGTTGTGCTTTTGTACAATAAAGAAAACAAATAGAATGCCGCTTTCTGCCATTTGAGTTTCCTTTCTGTGAACAAATTATGCGTGTCACAAAAATGAACTGAAACTCGGTGTATATAGGTTACGTTACGTGTCGCAGTTTACAGTAAACTAAATCAAATATGTTTCAAGAATTTATTCCTTGTATGTATAGACCTATATGTACTGCAGATTTTATATACATAACAATGTAATAATATTTAGTATTTTCAAATCTAGGTGGAAAAAAATTGTAATTTGTACTACTTGTCTGTTCAAAATAAATGAAAAGAAACCGAGCATAGTAAATTAGTTTTTTCCCCCTGTTGTCCCGAAATCGTATCGAACCGTGACCCCCAAACCGAGGTACGTACCGAACCGTGACATCTGTGTACCATTCCACCCCTATATATATATATATATATATATATATTAGTGCTGTCAATCGATTAAAAAGTGAACTAATTAATCACACAGTTTTTCTGAAATTAATCACGATTAATCCCACCTAACATTAAATATACTTTTATATTGCAATTTCACATTCAATCTTCAAATGAATGTACAAAAAACATAAAGGCAGTATATTTGTTTAATGGCATCTTTTTTTATGACTGAAGGCCAGTATCACTGATACCAATATTACTGACATCTCTATGAAATTTTTTCACCTAATATTTAACCATTGACTATAGCAATTCAACATTACAGTATAATTGAAAGCTATTAATTTTAACATTTATTAGACTTTAAAAAATAACTTCTAATTTAAGTGAACTTCGAACAATCTTCAAATAAACCCATTATAATAAATGTCATATTTACCTGTGCCCTTCAGCAGAAATGTACAGAAATTGAAAATGAATTTTCTTTCTTTGATTGACAGACATCACAGCACCTGGTTATTAGGTTGTTTCGGCTGTTATTACTCTAAGAGCTGCCGCTGCTGAACGTGACACGGATCTGTGACACGAATCATATTTCTCTCAAATCTCTTTACCTTTTCTGACACACTTCAGGTCTTAAAGTCTCTAGTAATGAGCTGACGAGTTAAATCGGGTGTGTTAGATGAGTGAGGCAGTGCTGGGCTGCTCCAGGACAGTTGCGAGAACCATTTCTTACATGTGATTTATCGATAATATATTGCATGCATGCCGTTTTAAGGCAGCTATAATCGCCTTTTTGGTAACTTCATGACTTAACTGACCACGACAGTGCATGCAGTAGTTTATTTCACGCTCTGATATGAAAGGATACAGGCTACAGCAAGCACAGTACCGTTTCCATGCACGCTTGACTCGCGCCTGTCGCTGAAGTGAAGCTGGAGCGCGCGTCTGAAATGTCTCTGGTTTGATGTGATCGTCAAGACGTTTTGCGACTAAATAAATGCACTTTTTCTCAAGGAGTTGTGAGTGCCAACCCTAGCTCCACCCCTGCGTTAACGGCATTACATTTTTTTTAACACGTTAAACTGAAAAAATTAATCACCTGCGTTAACGCGCTAATTTTGACAGCACTTATATTATATAAACAGTATAAATATATATATATATATACTTAAAACAATGTATTTTTTGATCGCATGCCTGATTAATGTACAAGTTGTGATGTTAACCTATGGTGTGTCAAAAATAAATAGGTCTCATTTTTTTTAATCTACACTGGAGCTACTGTCTGCATAGGAAATGAATCACTGCATGTTCCTTGTTCTTATAGGAAATATATCCTCCAAAAATCACTGAGCTGGCTTTTGTGTCTGATGGAGCCTGTCTGGAGGAGGAGATCCTGCAGATGGAGCTGATCATGTTGAAGGTGTGAACAGAGAAATCACTTCTGGTTCTGCTCTGGAGACCCCTGACGGGGGAGAGAGAGGATGCAAAATCATTACAGAAATTCATAAATCAGTTTTATCAATAAAATGTCAAAACATGGATAAATAGATATTTTTAAAAAACTGTTGAAAACAATATTAAACAAATTTGAAAAAAAAAAAAAAAAACTGGTTAACAAAAACAAACTATTAAAAATATTTGGTTAATTATAATAAAGCTGAAATAAAGTAAAATATATAAACATGTAAAAACAAAACTTGTGTGTGTGTGTGTGTGTATGTATGTGTATATATATATATATATATATATATATACTTAAAACAATGTATTTTTTTGATCGCATGCCTGATTAATGTACAAGTTGTGATGTTAACCTATGGTGTGTCAAAAATAAATAGGTCTCATTTTTTTAATCTACACTGGAGCTACTGTCTGCATAGGAAATGAATCACTGCATGTTCCTTGTTCTTATAGGAAATATATCCTCCAAAAATCACTGAGCTGGCTTTTGTGTCTGATGGAGCCTGTCTGGAGGAGGAGATCCTGCAGATGGAGCTGATCATGTTGAAGGTGTGAACCGAGAAATCACTTCTGGTTCTGCTCTGGAGACCCCTGACGGGGGAGAGAGAGGATGCAAAATCATTACAGAAATTCATAAATCAGTTTTATCAATAAAATGTCAAAACATGGATAAATAGATATTTTTAAAAAACTGTTGAAAACAATGTATACAATTTAGCGTGTGATTTTTATACTGAAATGGATCAAATTGGGCTTCAAATATTTTTAATTTTTCTGTTGCATTTTATACATTATTTTTCGAACAATTATTTACTTGCACGAATGTCCCCTATTTAATCAATATAGAAAAGTTGAAAACCGGGAACATAAAAAACATCTAATAAAAAAAAAAATAGAATGAGAAAGTATTTAACTTTTAGTTGTGGATGTGTGTGTGCTATCTAAACATGTCTTTATGTACTCAACAGGCGTTAAACTGGGATCTTTGTCCGGAGACTGTGCTCTCGTGGATGAAGCTCTACATTCAGATCGCCACGCTGTATGACGTCACCAATCTATTAGTGCCTCAGTTTTCTCAGGAAACCTACATTCAGATCACACAGGTACTCACGCTTTCCCCACCATTATACACTATTCTAATCTTGACAACTACTGTGAAAATTTGAATGTGCTTTTTGTGTTTGTTTTAGGTCTTGGATTTGTGCATCCTTGATATCAACTCTTTGGACTTTAAATATGGAGTCTTAGCAGCGGCTGCTTTTTGCCACTTCATGTCAGCTGATGTCGTCCAAAAAGTATCGGGTAAGATTTTAATTAGCAAGGTCTACTGTTATATAAGCTCTTCATGTTTCTAAAGCTGTTAGCTAGTGTACATTTGTGATCAATTAGTGATCATCTCAACCAATTTGAAGCAGTTCAATATGCATGTGCCCACATTGTGTGCAGGGTGTAAATGCTAGTTCTTCCTGACTCGTTACATTTACATTTAGTCATTTAGCTGACGCTTTTATCCAAATTTTATTTTTTTTTTTATCAAAAGCACCAATGGAAGCAAACAAAATCAACAAAAGAGCAATGAAACAAGCATTTAAACATTAAAGACGACAGTGAAAGAACCGCATAATGCAGTGTCCAACTAGCCAGTGTCATACCCTTTCCATCAGGATTTTCCTGTGCGTTTTTTATTAAAGGGTTTTTCAGTTCAGGAGTAAAATAAGGTCTGGTAACATAACTTAGCGATACTTGGACGTTTTGTTGTACACAAGGACACATGTTCTTATGGCAAACATACATTTTTAAAAGTAACTGCATCAAAATTTGCATTGTATTTGTGTATTTTATATTACTGAGCAAAGCATAAAGTAGTAGTTTTGAGCATGTGTAGATCAGGCAAAGTGTTTGTCCTCCACACAGGACTGAAGTGGGAGGCCATTGAGACCTGTGTGAACTGGATGGCTCCTTTCGTGGAGACCATGATGTGTTATGAGAGTGCACAGCTGAGAGAATTTGGCCAAGTGCCGTCTGAGGACAGACACAACATTCAGACACACGTGGACTACCTCTGCATGCTGGTGAGTCTAGTGCTTAACTAATATTAATAATTGAGATCAGCGCAATCGACGGATGCAGAAGTTTAGAGGTGGAATGAAGAACATTTATGAGCATGTTGTGCTCATGGCATTGTTTCAGCCAGGTGCATTTAACAGTTTTTTAATCAATGTCATGTTCTCATTTACAGAAAGATGCTCAGGAGAAGCAGTCAAAAAGCCTGGAGCCCTTGTTCCCACCAACACCACCAAGCAGCGCTGAGAAACCCAGCTAACACTAGTGTTCATACAGCAGGATCAGTGTACTGTGATATTTACTGTCACTCTAGGTCTAGACTTCATCTCGAGTTCAGGTCATTACATGTAATATGTACTATGTGCACAGGGCTTAAACTTCTATTTAAGTAACAAAATAGACTTCAAGAAACTGCACTGTTTTATAATGAGTAGGCAACTTGGGTTTCCCTGTACAGTACGAAAAATATTGTGCAAAAAATAAGATTAGGCCTCAGGATTGCTGTAGTATTTTTGTATATTTTCTGTTTTATTATTTTTTTTCTCTGAAGTTCAAATGACGACTTCTTCAAATGTGATTCATGAAAATATCCAATTTCCTGTCGGCATAATGTTCTTTATTATACAGCACAATTTAAGCATGATGTTCATTTGTATATAGAATGTAAGATGTTTACATTTGCTCATTTCAACTTTACCAAAAAACATTGTTCCTTATTGACACATAATTGTGAAAATTGGATGTGTGTATATGTATACATTTGTATATTATAAAAATAGGACACAACATAAATTAGCATAGGCATATTTATTTGAAAAAAAAAATTTATTTATCCCCCCCCCAGTAAAAAAAAAAAAAAACACTCTTTTGGAACGAAATTAAAAGTAGAGTTTAGCCAAGGCCTGTAGGAATTTCTTCTTCCTTTTTTGCGCTGCAAGCTGCAGGACTTCCTCTGGATTACTGGAGTTTAACTCTGTCTGTCCGATGGCCTTAATCTGTGTTCAAATACATTACCCTTCATTAGCTTCATATCTGTGTACTGAGCTAATTTAGTTTCATTTGTGATGGCTAATAGTTCCATCTGAAAATTAAGCAACTTTTGTACAAATCTTACTTTGAAACTGCACTGAAATTAAATATTGGTACATATTGTTAGATTGCATTTCTGCTGTATCTGCAATAAATGTTTGAGACACTCAACGTAGTGTAACTGATTCTTGAATCAACAGATAAATGAATCGGCTTACCGCAACTTGTCTTTTGTCACTCTCTCCTCGTTTATGATGAATGTCTAAAGGCAAAAGTTATGGTAAAACAAAGAACAGATGTGCTGAATAAAGGCTTATTCAAATCTTTTTATTAATACATTTGCAAATTAATTGATAACAGCGGACTCGTGTTGGTCTGAGATTGGGTCTTCTTTAAAAAGGATACATGTCAGATATTCCAGAATCGTCACATCCCAGATGTAATCATAGAACGAATCCATAGAATCATGACTGATGGAATGGAGAAAAATGCAATGAAGTTCCTTTCTGACAAGAAAGTTTCTGAACTATTTTGTAAAGCGGGTATTGATGCATTGCGAGTTCACCTGTTTTGCTCTTGTAGAGCTTTGAATGCAGTCATGTAGTC